AGCGCGTGGGCGGCCTTCTTTGATTTTGGCTCTGGGGGCCGCGCGACCTGGGTTTGCGCGTTGATGTGCAGCCCCCTCTGACGATCCGCTCCGCGATGAACTCCCCAACTTCTCCGCGTCACTCGCCTCTCGGCACCGAGTGCACCACGTTGCGCGGTCGAACGCGTCGGCCGAGAGGCGTGGCCTCATCCCTACCAGCGGCCCCAGAATGATGCCATCGTCCGTGGGCGTTGCCGACGTCAACCTCACCGCGTCGTTGGTGGGGGGGTCCGCGGGGCGCCGAAACTCGCGGGCGCGCGTGGCCTCTCGCGCGGGCGACGCGCGCTCGCCCGGCGACCCGACCCAGCCGAATGCCATCACGGCGTGCCAGGACATGTAGAAGCGGAAAATTTTCACCTGTACCTTGAAGGAGCTATGTGTTAAAAGGAAAGTTAGTCAAGTGCTGTTGCTCTGTTGTGCGACAACAGCGGCGGCGCGTCCGAATTGCCGAGCCACGCCCTGCGCTCGCGCCCTGAATCTCCTGTCAAGGACCATCTGCAACTCGCTAGAAGCATATCCAAGGATCGCCACGACCTGGTGCAACGCGACCCTGATTACTCGAGCAAATACATCGCGAGGTGAACTGGCAGTGAAGACAGGGCCGACCAGGCCCTGGCCCCGCATCACTACGGCACCCCCAGGGCTTTACTAAGGCAGACCGCGGACTTCACTAAAGCGAGGAAGCGGCTGTACTGAACCGAAGAAGCGGCTTACTAAAGCAAGCAAGGCGGCTGGACTAAACCGAGGAAACGGCATTAGTAATGGCGCGCCGCTCCATGCATCCCGGGGGGGAAAAACTTCACTGCACTGCAGCGAAAAAGATGCTTGAGTAAAGCGGAGAGACGGGCGGGGTAAAACTGCGCACATAAATTTCGCTCCTCCCATAGAGTTTGGCGCGGGACTCCATGAACGAGGGCGGGGCGCAAGTTCGCCCGTGGGCCCGGGCCCCGTCGCCGCCGTCGCCGCGGTGTTCGTCGTCGCCGCCGTCGCCGTCGCCGCCGTCGTCGTCGCCGTCGGCGCCGACGCCGCCGTCGTCGTCGCCCTCTCCGTCGTCGTCGCCGCGACGCCCGTGCATTCGCATTATTACCAGCGGCGGGTCGCGCGCAACCGCGCGCGCTACTGCGCTCGCATTTCCCGCTCTTCCGACGGGAGCCCAAGCGGACATCGTACTTTGATTTGTCCATGTGCAACTGTTTTAAAGCAGCGGTGGGAAACAACGCCTCTGAATAATGGCGCGGCATGACGGCTACGTCGACGGAGGCAGACGCGATGTTGATTGCAGCGATATTGGTGGCGACGAGGGCGATGGCGACGGCAAGGCAAATGACGGCGCCGATGCTGATCATGCTGATGACGACGATGGCGCCATCGCAACGGCGATGTAGGTTTTGGAAGAATTTCGACGCGCGCGCGAGACCGACGGGCGCGAGCGGCCCGCGTGGATCTATTTGACAGGGATCGCGACCCTACCCCCCCAGCACGCGCGCAAGCGCGTTCCAATGATTTCGACGTGCGCGCGCGAGAGTCCCGCGCGGTTGTGTCTGCTGTAAGAGTTGAAAAACCTATGGTTTGCTCCGGAGCTCGCAGGAGGGCGCGAGCAGACTAGTCTTCTCACTGGAAACCCATTCGGCCGTCGGGGCCGCCCGGCAAAAAACCTCGGACCTTCGCAGATCGCGCCCGACCCTGGCGCGATGAGCACAGCGACGAAACAGGTTCTCCTTGCCCCTGCAGCCTCATCCGCCAACGTGGCTCATGCCATTCTCGCTTCGAGAGAAGGCCGAGGCTCCAGCGAGCCCAGTGCCCGCCGAACCGAGGCGTCGGCCTGCCACTTGCTCCCGCGCGCAAGCGGCGCGCTGGTCGGGGCCGCGGCGCGCGGGCGGCTGGCCGCGCCGGCCATCCGCTGCGCCCGGGCGCTGCCGCACGGGCGCGCCGAGAGCGGCTTCCACGAGAGGCTGTCGGGCGCCGAGGCGGGGCCCGCCGAGGCGGGGGGTGCCGTCGAGGGCGCGAGCGCCCCGCGCTGCCCGACGGCGCCGCGGGCGGGGCGGGATCGCATCGCGCGCGGCGCCGCCGAGCGCGGAGCTGCGGTGCCGTCGGTCGCGGAGGTCGGGCGCCGGCATCCTGAGGCGCGGGCTGCGTCCGATCCGACCGCCATCGCGACGAGGCGCGCGGGGGGGAAAAAGCGCGCGCTGGCGACGCGGGCGGCGGCGGCAGAGTGGGCCGAGCACCCAGGCGTCTCGATTGATCAGAGGGGATCGCTCATCACGGCGGCCGAGAGAGCGATCGCGCGGCTCGAGGTCGAGGACGAGAATGCGAAGATGAAACGCGGCAAGAAGCCTCCACACAAGAAGAGGAAGGGCGCTCGCAGCGGGTGCGTCTACCGGCTGGCGGGCGGCAGCGGGAATGTGTTCATGGCGCTGTGGGCACAGGGGAGCTGGGGATCGCGGAGACCCGTCTCGTTTCTGGCCTGGAGGCTGCGGCGCTTGTTCCGCCTTGGCCTCGTGTTCCCCGCGGGCTATGGCGGGGCCAAGTCGATCTACGAGACGGCCGAAGACGCGCAGGCCCTGTTCGACACCGTCTGGGAGCACTGCGAGTCGGGGGGCCTGGAGTGCATCTTCGCGGCGGCCGGAGGCGCGGTCCTTGCGGGGCACCTGCTCTGGGCCTGGCCCTGTGGCGGCAGCGCCAGGGACCTTGCCGTCGCTCGGACGTTCATATCCCGTGCATTTTTCGATTTCGTGTGCGTTTTTTCGTCAATACTCCAAGATGGTCCTCGTGATTTCTCGCCGAGAAAAAATGCACACGTCCAAGTGATGCCAAGGGACTCGGGCTCGGAGAACGGTTCGGTCGCGAGCGACGACGACGGCGTGGCGATGGGGGCGCAGGTGGCGGACTCGGACGACGAGCCCGGCCCCGGGCGGCTGTCCGCGGAGCTGTCCAACCAGCAGCAGGCTTATGTCGGGCGTGTCCCCCTACAGGGGGATTTTCGACGAAAAATTAAAACACATACCCCAAAAAGGCAACAAACAGGCAACAAAAACAATCAAAACATAGCCCCTGGACTATTTTTGGACAATTGTTTGACTCTTGCTGGGGTATGTCTTATTTTTCGTCGAGAATCCCCCGTAGGGGGACACGCCCGACTGAACAGTACACCCTGCGAAATGCTTTAGAAATCATGGGTTAAGAAATTCATGGTCTCAGAACTTGAATAAAAACCTAACATTTCTATCAAAATCTTAGGATTTACATTGAAACGTTAAGAATAATCGAGACTCTGGACGAAAACTTAGGTTTTCTTAAGCATCGCCTAAGGTGTAGGCGCTGCACCGTGCGGCGAACGACCTCGCAGGAGCCGTCCACAACCGGCCGAGGGGCCCGCCGCCGGGCACCAGGACTTCGGCATGCGATCGCGCTCGCGGGGATCTGAGCGAGCCTCGGACGCGGGGCCGCCCCGCCCCGAACCAGCACGTGGCGCGACGGAGGGCGACGCCTGGCCGACGTCGTCACAGATCGACGACTCCATCGCGAAGCTGAGCGAGCACGAGGAGGCCGTGAAGCAGGACACTCGACACGTGCCGCCATCGGTACTGGCTCGCCTGCGAGGTCGATGGACAGCACGGGCTCCTGGGAGCAGGTCGGCCAACAGGACGAAGAGCTGCAAGGCCGCATCCAGCTGCTGAAGGAGCCGCAACCCGCGCGACGGGCTCCTCGCTACCCTCGAGGAGTTCAAGCACGTGCGCATGGCCCGGAACGGAGGAGTGAAGACGAGGGTGACGACAACCGTCGTCCACAAGCTGCACCGTTCGGGGCGCGCGGTCAAGGTGGAGCTGAACGAGCGGCCGCGGCCGAAAGAGTTGCAGCGAGCCAGCATCAGCAGCGAGGTTACGATGTTGGCGATGGTGCTGGACCACGCGGTGGCGGAGGGCGCCCGCGAGCAGCTCATCAACAGCCCTGCCGCGGAGCTGGCTCGCATCGGGCTCTGCGCGAACTGGAAGACCTACGAGAACGTCAAGCGCATGAACGACTGGCAGAGGGCGAGGGGCCAGCAGACTGGCAGCAAATGGCGTTCCAAGGTGGACTGAGCGTTGGCGGACGAGTACATCAAGGTGGACGAGGGCCGCGAGTTCTCCAACTTGAGGGCCGACGACGGGGCGACGGAAAAACTGAAGCGGAGGGCGACCGTCGCCAAGCACCTGCAGGCCGCCAAAGGACGGCAGCTCGGCAGGGGAGCGCGCACAGGTTGAGGCCGGGGCTCCCGTGGCAAGCCCTGGCCAAGCGCACGCTTGAGGCGTTGGGCCACAGCTTCCGTATAGGGGGCTGCTGCTGGGCTTTCCCGGGGGCTCGAGAGCCTTTGAGGCAGCAGGCTGGCGCCGGGTCGCGGTTCCGTGGGCGTTCGGCCTCGGAGGCGGGGTCGAAATATTTTCGGGCCAGTCAGAGCTGGACATCGTCGAGCACGACCTCCACTACAACGACACCCGTTTCGCTCGCGTTGGGGCGCAGATCACCAGATGGCCCCACCTTGCGAAGATGATGGGCGAGAGGGAGAGCGACCCGCCGCGAACGCTACCCATCCTCCCATCCTGCCCCAAGACGGCTCCCCGAACGCCCCAAGACGGTCCAAGAGGCCTCCCAAACGCCCAGATGGCCTTGAAGATGACCCTGAAGCGCCCCAAGAAGAGGGCCCAAGAAGGCCCAGAGAGGCTCCCAGGACGGTTTCCGACGGGCCAAGAACTCCGTAAGACTGCCGAGGCCCCAAGAGGCCCCCTAAAGCTTACAAGAGGCCCCGAGAGGCCCCGAAGATGACCCCAGGAAGCTCCCAGGAAGTTTCAGAAATGACCGAAGAAGCTCCCAAGGGGTCTACTTGTTCCCTTCGTCCCCCACGTTTTCCCTTCCCCGAAGGGCTTCAACAACGGCTGGGGGAACGCATGGTCCAATAGCGTGGCCAAATTTTGCCCAAACGTTTGACCACACAGGCGCCTCACAACTGGCAGGGGGCGGCGGAGATTCGCCGCAGGCGTCGTCGATTGGGCAGGCAATGTGTCTGGGCCGCGCTGCCACAGAGCGGCCCTTGGGTCACTCTCTTGGCGACACTTGCGCAACCCTCGACATCCGCCTCCACTTTCCAGACCTTCCGCATGGTGGCCGCCGCCGCGGCGCGGCTGCCGCGGCCGCGGCGGCCGCCGCCGATGAGCGGCATCTGCCGCGCGGAGGGTGAAGAAATGAGATGGGTGTCGAAGGAGGTCTGACGCGAGCAGCTACGGACGCAGCCTGCGCGCCGCACGAGCTGTATCTGCACGGGCATACCATCCTAACACGCCGAGTCTGGCTGCGCCACGGTGTACATCACCTTGTTGAACCTCCGCTGCAAAATGCAATAAGAAACAGCGAACGACAACACCGCGATAAAGCCGACGGTGCCGACAAGCATCATTACACTCCACTTGTCTGTGAAACTCTCATGTTCGTAGATAAATTCCTGCACCTGCTCCAGGGCATTCTCCTTCCTCTGCGAGAAATTGAACATTTTGGTGGCGATGTCCTCTACGCCCGCAGATCTGGCCAGGGCAGTTTTGCAAGCCATCGAGAAGCCATCTGCCTCTTCCTTTACGTTTACCTTCAAGCACACCATCATTCGCGAATCTCCAGCAGGAGTGTCCTTACAGAACGACTTCATCTCATTGGCGCATTTGGTCCGGATCGTGAAGTCAATTGTCGCATGAGTGCCCGCCACCTTGGCGAACACGGTGACCTCCTTCTTACACTCCGCATTTGAGATGTCATCCAGTTTCTCCCTCAAACACTCGTGCCACCTTGCCGCACCGGCCTCGACGCCTTCGCAAAGGCGATTGATATCCTGGCGGCGAGAAGGAGGTAAGGGAAAGGCGGGCCTTGATACAGAAAACGTCAGAGGACGAAGAGAAGAAGAAGACGAATAATAAGAAGAAGCGAACGCGGATGAGAAAGAGACGGAAGAGAGAGATGACTGGGACGGGGATGGGCTTTTTTTCGAAGGTGGCGGCGACCGCCTACTCCCAGTCGTAACTGTTCCTGTAGCGTGACCCGCGCGCCCGCAAAACAATCAATCCTCCGCCCGACGCCGTGGACACACACCGCGGCGACATGAAAATCAGCCTCGCGAAGGGTCCAAGAACCGCTAGCACGTGAAACGAAGGGTGGCCCCGAAGCGTGTGAGAGGTGCGCCGCATGGGGCGGGGCCACCATGCAGACTTTGCCTCTGGGGCCTTCGGTGGAACTCCCCATGGGGCCACAAAACGCCTGAGAGGTGCGACGAAATGGGGCGGGCACGCCATGTGGACTCTGCCACTAGGGCCTTCGGTGAAGCTCGCAGTGGGGCCACGACAGCGTGGGGGGTGCGAGGAAATGGACGATCAGGATGATCAAACAGATCATGATGATGATGACGATGATGATGTTGCTGCTGCTGATGATGATGATGATGATGATGATGATGCTGACGCTGATCCAGAAGCTGATGATGCTGCTGCTGCTGCTGCTGCTGCTGCTGATGATGATGATGATGATGATGATGATGATGATGATGATGATGATGATGATGATGATGATGATGATGATGGGGAAGATCACGACGAGGACACGCGGAGGGCAGAGGCAGGGGTTGGGAGGAGGGGAGAACTGGAGGAGAACGGAGGCAGGGAGACGCGGGACGCTGCCTCCTCAAAACGAGGACCCGACACCACGAGATCGCGCACGGCAGGGCAGCACCACGACCGCGCGAGGCCCCGCCCCGCCTCTGCGCGGCACCCCCCGAGCCGGATCGACCTCTGCGGAGCGGGAGCCACGGGGCCTTCGAAGCTCGGGCCGGAAGCGCCCGACGTGACTCTTTGGCGTACACCCTGCGAAATGCTTTAGAAATCATGGGTTAAGAAATTCATAGTCTCAGAATTTTCATAAAAACCCAGAATGTACATTCAAATCTTGGGATTTACATTGAAACATTAAGAATAATCGAGACTCTGGCCGAAAACTTGGGTTTTCTCAAGCATCGCCTCGAGTGTAGGGCGCGAAAGTCCGAAAGTCGACGGCCTATCTCGGGTGCCGCGACCCTCCCGGCAAGCGCTCTGTTCAGGACTTCGAGGCAAAGGGGGGGCCCTCTCGAGGACGCAGCAGGATGACATGTATGAAGGAAAGCTCCTCCTCATGCGCCTCCTCCTCCTCATCCTCATCCTCCTCCTTCACCTGCGGCTCCTCCTCCTCCTCCTCCTCCTCCTCCTCCACCTCCTCCTCCTCCTCCTCCTCCTCCTCCTCCTCCTCCTCCTCCTCCTCCCCCTCCTCCTAATCCTCCTTCTGGTTCCCTCCTTCTCCTCCTAATCCTCCTCCCAATTCTCCCCTGATCCTCCTGCCCCCCCATCCTCCTCCTCCCTCCGAGTCGCTCTGGTACTGTCGCTGGCGCCTCAAGCCGGCTGGCCGTGGCCCCCCCAGGGAGGGCACTCGATGAGGCGCAGACGACAGAGGGCACGCCCAGGCCCGAACTCTGCCAGGAACCATCAGAGCTTGGGGAAATCTTGTGTCACTCGCCCTCCCCGTTTTCTGATTTACAAAAAAAAACCCTAATCCTTCGGAAAGGGGCCTTGGGTTAGTGAGGAATGGAAGAACGCCACTATACCCTGGGTTACAAGCGCCTGGTCGGTAGACCTCCTGGGAGCTCCCACAGGCCAGGGAGCCGCCAGGACGCCGCGCGGCACGCGCGATGCGCAGGGTTTACACTGTCAGCCCACAGGAGATTCATCGCGCAGCGCCTCATAAACCAGGGTAGGGGCCTTTTTTTCTACGCCATTGAAGTTAGGTGTGTCGAAAACATGAGGAATAGGGCCTCTCTCCTGCAGATGCATCGGACCAGACCGCCCAGACGTTGTGTTCCTAGTGCAGAGGCGGCGACTCAGTGCGGCCACGTCACGGCTTCTTGGCGGCGCGCACAAGGGGGTGGGGGGAGGGGGAGGGCTTCTTAGAAGCAGGCTGCTTCTTAGAAGGCGCCGGCCTTACATCTATAGATAAGGCCCGCGCCTTCTAAGAAGCAGGGGTGCTTCTAAGAAGCCCTCCCCCCTCCCCCCACCCCCCTCTGCGCGTGGCTGAGCTTCACTGTGTCAGTGGGGTTAGGCGTGCTTTTTATTCTCGATGACCTTCCTTATTTTCATGTGCGCCCTTTGGGACAGCGCGAGGCCCTCCGCGCCGCCCACCTCCCTGCCAGAGCCACACCATCCGAGGGATGCAGACTAATTTGGGGGCGGGTCCTGACCAGCGGTTGCGGGGGAGGGGGGGGGTGCTGCTGTGACCGCGTGCTCCCTCAATTATGGAGCAAACACCGAGCGATAGTTGCAAAGCGTACGTCGTTGCCTACATCCCAAAGCCAATATACGAGCCAACGGGATGAGAGGGAGAAGGACACGCTGAATTAGAGAATGAAATGCATCATTGCACCTTCTGACTTTATACCGTCACACGCAGACAACTTTCGGCATCGCATTATGGATTGCCTCTGGCCTGCAATTTCTGGATCGGGGGGTTTGACACTGGCCAACTTGTGACCTATGGCTCAGGGCATTCCGCTAGTCCTTGAGACTCGCTGCTGGTGCCGAACATGCAGACGAACTGCGGCTGGCCGTAAAGGGATGGGGAGTAGGAACAATCATTCAGAACACCAGCGGGAGACTCTGGCTCCTCGTTCTCCCTCCACATCCTCTTCTCCTCACCATCAACCTCACCCACCCGCGCTAGTCCTCGGCCTCCTTCTCATCTTCTCAAACTTTTTACTGATGGTCCGCCTGGTCTCCAGCGGACCTCCAAGAACACGGCAACAAAACTTCGGCGTTGAATTCGCCAGCGTCGGTGCTGGCGGTGATTGTCTGGCGCCACACACGGGGGCAATGGCTGGCAACAATGTCATTGCAGGCCGCATGTTTTTGAAGGGCGGCGAACCTTTCCGTGATCCCAGGACTGGGTTGGCAAAGATGTGGACCCCGCCCCCGCAGTACGGCGCTAGCGAAAGCGCGGCCTGCTTTAAGGCCGCGGGACGTGCCAGCCGCGAAGCGGTTGAGGCGGGCCCTCAGGAGACGATGGCGATGATGGCGGCAGCGGTGCAGCCCCCCCCCATTTTGCTGCTGCGCTGGCCGCGCGCTCCTCCCGCCGGCGGTGACACGCCAGGCGGGCCCCTCCTTCCGCCACGCGAAGCGGGCCTCGCCGCCGGTGCCGTAGGACACCGAGGCAAAGCCCAGGGTGGGTGGGCAAAAGAGGGCCCCTTTGGGCCCTGGGAGGGCTTTGAGCCCCGAAGGCTTGAGCGGGAGAAAGGGAAAGGGAAGGGCAAGCAGAGGCAGGAGCAGGGAGAGAGGAAACCCAAGCCGACTGGGGAGGGCGGGGTCCAACCGTTTAGGACAAACAACTAAGACCCCGCCCCCACAGTGCGGCGCTAGCGAAAGCGCGGCCTGCTTTAAGGCCGCGGGACGTGCCAGCCGCGAAGCGGTTGAGGCGGGCCCTCAGGAGACGATGACGATGATGGCGGCAGCGGTGCAGCCCCCCCCATTTTGCTGCTGCGCTGGCTGCGCGCTCCTCCCGCCGGCGGTGACACGCCATGCGGGCCCCTCCTTCCGCCGCGCGAAGCGGGCCTCGCCGCCTTTGTTCTATCATACGGGTGCTGCTGCCAGTGCCCCCGCACACTGGCCGCCTGGCGGGTTCTACGCGCCGGCGTGCTGTGTGGGCGCCCTGATGGGCGTCGCCAAAACTGGGTGCCAGGCGTTGTGTTGCCGGCACCGTCTAGGCACTGAGTCACGCATCGCCTGGCGCGTGCGCCGGCGTGCGTGTGAGGGCCCGACTGGCCCTCTGTCTGCCGACTGCCGCCAGGCAACTGATGCCGGCGTGCGCGGCTGTCCTCCGTGAGGCTAGGCTTTGGGCTCGCGCCGGTACCTTGATTGCCGGCGGAGCCCGACCTCGGGCTGAGGCCCGAGGGTGTCGTCGCTGGCGCTTGGCGCGGGCCGGCACTTGGCGTCCCCGTCTGCGCCGCGGCCTCCAGATCTCCCGGCTCCCTGCCTTCACAAGTGCCCAAAGTGCACGGGGCGGGCAGGGTCCGGCCCCTGACAGAGGGGGTTCCCCGGGCCGGCGCTGGGGCGCGGGCCCGCGCCTGCGCATGAATTCGAGCGCTGCGGCCACCCGGGCCGTCAGACTGCCAGCTACTGTAGCACAGCTGGCGCCAGTATGCCCGGCACGCCCAGGCTTGGTATGGAGAGCCGGCGTGCCAGGCGGGTTCCAGCGTGATCCTCGTCCAGGGCTGCAAGGGGACCCACAGTATCCCAGGCGCTAGTGGGGCCCTGACGGACGGACCTGCACGCATGCTTTTGCCGTGAGGTATTAGCCAGTGCTGAAGGCACGGGCGGGTGTACCCTGCGAGCGCGCGGCTACTCGCCGGCGGGGCAGGTGGCTGGTGGCTGCGCCCAAGCACGCACGGCGTGAAGCCGGCGGCTTGGGTTGGGCGCACGCCAGGTGCGTAAGCACCGGCGGCGCCCGCTGCGGCCTCTCATGGGCTCTCGCGCCTGGCGCTCTCGGCGCCGGCGGCAGCTCTGCTGGGGGCGCTGTCCTTCGCCGGGTTGGTCAACGAGGAGTTGTCCCTGGCCATCTTGCCGGAGATGCCCTTCATCGGCTCGTGCGACTCCCACAGGTAGCCGTGGAACGCGTCTGACTGCCAGCGCCCGAATCGGCGCACTCGGGAGAGGTCCTCGGTCACGTGGTACATTGCAGTTGCCCCGCCGATCCTCAGGGAGTGGCTGCCGATCTCTTCCCTGGAGAGGCCGGCGGCCAGCCCCGCGACCGTCAGGAAGTGCTGCACCT